ACCTTTATGTGATGAGCCACGCCCTCCGCAATATTCATTGCCTTATAGAAGCTCAGTTTTAGTAAGTTTTCCAACTTTTGCCAAGAGGGAACTTTAGATATTGGTCCCTAGATTATGTTCACCCAGTTTCATGCAGATCGCTCAAACTTCCTAGGAAGAGATCCATTTGAAATGTGTTCCTCATGAGGAGAGGCATCTCTGTGCAAAGTTTCATGTCTCTACCACATACGGGGCATGAGATATGCCCATTCAAAGTTTGACATTTCAGTGGGTTGCTATAGCGCCCCCCTTTGGCCAATTGATGTAATATTGCTTCATTGGCATCCTCCCATGACCCTCTACCACTGTGCCAAATTTCACATGGATTGACCGAGTCAGTGAAGAGAAAAACATTGAACAGACACACACACAGTTTTCGTTATTATATAGTAAGATGTAAGGGAAACTTTGCAGATTTTCAACCAGCTCTGTGTCCTCACAGTTTGTGCAGATAAATTATATTTGACTTCCCTTTGTGCTTCCTGCTCATCTGCTTGTGGTTGTCCCCAGTTTTCCCACTATTTGGTGGACTTTTGCCACCAGATAAGTGGGGACCTCCAGCTGCTGGCAGCCTGGAGAGAGGCTGAGTGTTATTCATCATTCTGCCCATGTTGCAACAACACAGAGCAGGTTGAAAATCGGCATAATTAGCCACAATTTGTGAACATTCATAATAAGCCTTCATCTCAACAGCAGTTATAGCGATTTATGTGAATGCTAATGTTAAGGTTACCTCTGATCCACTCTGTAAACTGGATGCTCTCAGTTTAGATGCTGAAGCTTTGACAGTGAGCTGTAGTGGAGGAACAGAGTGGACCCGGAGAGAGGCACCTCAGGAACTGTAGTTTGGTTTAGATTCATCTTTAAATGATCCCATCAAATCATGTCTACTCATTTGAGGTGGAGCGTTGTGCCACAGTGATAATGATCCATGGGAAACACGAAGCGAACCACCGTAAACCTGCTGTTCATACATTTATAGCTGTTCAACAACTCTGACTGTATTATGATATATCGATAAACACCACTGGAGTGATATAGAACTCCATATACCATGGTAAAAGATTTTGGCCCCCACCGCTGGCAGAGAGGAAATATAGATTAGAGAGGACTAAAATGATAACAGGACTAAATAAATAAACAGCCCAGTGTAACGACCTCTGATCATCTGTCATTTCCTCTGAACTAAAATCCTCTCTGGAACGTGTGTTTGTAAAGTGCAGTTTTCTGATCTCCCTCCGGCTGCGATCAACATCTGTGTGTGTGTGTGTGTGTGTATGTGTGTGTGTGTGGTGCTCCAGTAGCTTGTCGATGGCCGGTGGCTGTTTATTAATGGATGGGATGGAGTGTGTGTTGGGCGCCCTCCAAGAATCAAAGGAGAAATTGAAAGTACACGGCGGTGCATTTATCTGCCTCGCTGCTCCTGATGCCCCGTCCTGCAGCACTCAAACACTTCCACAGTGTTCGAGCTGCCACTGCATTTTCATAAGCAGATGGGTGGCGGGTGGGCAGGCAGTTGGGGGGGGTGGGGGCTGTAAAGTGGGATGGTGTTTTGGAGACGAGAGCGTTGTGTTAAACTCTGGACAAAAACATGTTTCTTTGTGGTGTCAGTGCACAGGTCAGAATGTTATTTATACAGACGTGTATTTACAACACAGCCGTGGTGGAAGAAACACTCGCGAGCTAAAACGAAGCGACTGTTAGCAGTGAAATATATTAAAATATTCAAAGAGTGCTGATGGTGAATGTAGAGACCTCAGACTGTAAAAGGTCCTGGAGTTTGGCATTTTGGCCATCGCCATCTTGGATTTTTGGAGCCAGAAGTGACCATATTAGGATGACAGAGTGCAGCTAACACTAATGCTAGCTGCTAGCGTGGTTAGCACAGCACATTAACAGCTAAAGCTAACTAAAAAACAAAACAAAAACTGAACATGCGACTCTTAAAGCCCAGTCAGTATCCACTGTGTGATTTTGGGCTGTCCCAGACCAAAGATGATCAGCGGTAAAGAAACGTGGCGATATCTTTGGTCGTGGCTCTAAAACGGTGGTGCCCTGAAAAATAAGTGCTTGGGAATGCGTACGTGCCTTGACCGTGTCACTCTGGTGTTTGAGTGCGCCTGCCGCGCATCTACATGGAAAAAAATGAATCTGAGGGCACAAAAACGTGGCATGTGTACGGCCGCTTACAAGACTGATCAGGACTGATTCCTTGTTTACTCCCGTCAGCGCAGAGGTCACGTGACCGCAGCCTTTCAAATGACGTGTGCAAATTACTGGCTCATGATTACGTGAGATATGTTCACATTCTGGTGCATTAGTTTTCGACTTTGTGAATCTGGGGTTACACCATGGTTAGGTTACCTGACTAACGCTGTTGCCATGGTAGCGGCTCGTCAAGAAACAACATCCACCTGTCACTCAGGTTGTTGTTGTGTTTTTAGCTCCGAGTACAGTGGACCGCAGCTTTCTGACCAAGCGTGAAAACATGACGAGGAAAAGACAGAATCAAAGATAAAAGCAGAGACGCATCATCTGACACTGTTTAATGTGAAAGGTCAGAGTTTGGGAACTTCAGCCGTCACATAAATGTCGATGTTCAAGTAGCAGCACCTCAAAGTTCAGTCCAGTACTTAAGTAAATATGCACTCATGTCCGCCCCACCTGCTGCTCCGACCCTTCTTAAATCCCTCCTACTTCACCTGAGTCTCGTCAGCATGAACGCAGCACTTCCATTAAGCCCATTAATCCCCTTCAGACAGCCCACTCTCACAGTGTCCCCTCTGACTGTCCACTGTCCACTGTCCACAGGTCCACCGACACTCACCCACCTCTGATGTCAGCTCCCTGTCCATCAGCCACGAGGCCGATGAGTTAATTGGATTGTAGATGTGTTACAGATGTGTTATAGATGTGTTATCGACAAAGTGGCGCTTGGTTTATATACAGAGCACTATCACGTCCTGATGTTGGTAGAAATGCATTACATTTATACTGTGTTTTATAAGATGTTTCTAGGTTTAATCACCTCTTGTGTTCTTAAGTGTCATAAACATCAAGTTTAATTTGTGTTTTAGCTTATATGTAATTTTATTAGTATTATATTAACTTATAGTTACCAGACTGAGTGTTAGTCAGCACCGATATTTGAGGCAGATTTTTGCTACGTGCCCTTATAGAACGACTCGTATGATATTGTACAAATTAGCGCCCCAGGAAGGACGTCACATCCCTAACATATTTAGTAAGTAGTAATTAACATAAAGTTAAAGATGTTAGGTTTAGGAATGTACCTCAAAATGACTCCCGTCAGCTCATTGGTCACGTTATCGCAGCCTTTCAAAATTTTTGGGATACGTACGAATCGGGGTGCATTACTTTTCGTAGGAAAACGTACAAACAGCCTGGTATTTGAGATATTTGACTTCTGCCCGACATAAAAACACAACGTAAACAAACATTTTTCATAGTTTGTTTTTAAGAAAGAATCGTGACAGAGTTATGTCCCATTTATTTTACCCTGTCAGAACAGACAGTGCCCCCTGCTGGGCAGAAGTTAAAATGACTTTAGCCTCCTGACACCTGAACTGCTGCTTGGTGGGTTTGGATCAGTTGGACCAGATCAGTATAAGAAACTAAACATTGTCTTTGTACAGGAAGTAGTTGTGGAAAAAAATAAAATGTCCTCATATGTGGACAGTAGGTTTTATTCAATGGTCACATGAATGTAAGAAAGAAACTGTTTATTTCAATGCCGGAACATGATTGGACAAAAAAGTCTCAGTGTCCTCAAACAAGACAATAAAAATGTCCCAGTGTCCTCAAACGAGACGAAATAATGTCAGAGTGTCCTCAAACGAGACAATAAAAATGTCCCAGTGTCCTCAAACGAGACGATAACAGTGTCCTCAAACAAGACAAAATAATGTCAGAGTGTCCTCAAACAAGACAATAAAAATGTCCCAGTGTCCTCAAAGGAGACAATGATAATGTCCCAGTGTCCTCAAACGAGACAATAACAGTGTCCTCTAACTAGACAATAACAGTGTCCTCAAAGGAGACAATAAAAATGTCCCAGTGTCCTCTAACAAGACAATGATAAAGTCCCAGTGTCCTTAAACGAGACAATAACAGTGTCCTCAAACAGGACAATAAAAATGTCCCAGTGTCCTCAAACGAGACAATAACAGTGTTCTCAAAGGAGACAGTATTAAAGCCCCAACGTCCTCAAACGAGACATTAATAAAGTCTCAGTGTCCTCAAACGAGACAATAAAAATGTCCCAATGTCCTCAAACGAGACATTAATAAAGGAGTACTTTCTAATTCACAGTGTCTTAACATCTTATTAATAATCATAAATAAACAAGCTTCAGCCACAGCATGAGATCAGGTTTTGGACCTTGTCCACTTTTGTGTCGGGATCGGCTGCAGACTGAGTTGGCAGAGACGGCTGCCATCTTGTTTTTACATGGATTAGTGTATTGTACAAAAAAGTGTCCACGAACGAGGACAACAGGTCTGAGTGAAGCAGAATGAAGTATAAGGAGCAGCAAACCCAGAACATGACGTCGTATCCTTTGCTTTCTTGACTTTGTCGGACTCGGTACGCGTCTTTGTCGCGGCTTTTTAATGATGAAATTGGAGGCATCTCTGTCAGTAATGAGTGTTTACGTCGTTCTGATGTAAACACAAAAGTTCCTCTGATGTCGCTGACGTTTTAACTAAGCTGAACCCGAAACGTGCGGCGTGATGACGTCACAGACGAGCGCGGTTCTGCAGACAGTGTGTGAACAGGTGGAGGCTCTGACGAACTGCCCGTCTGTGTGTGTTTCTCTGTGTCGTGTGTCTCATTGTTCTCGGGGTAGTTTGATCTGTCGCTGTCTCTCCAGGTCTCTCCCTCTGTTCTTTGCTCAAACTAGATCTTTTTGTTCCTTTTTTTACAACGCATTGCATATTCAGAGGAGGCAGCATGTAGGTATCTTAAAACGACACGCACCTCCCTGGCTGCATGAATCGTCCTTTACTTTTGTCTTTTTCTTTCTTAGCTTTCAACTTCCTCCTGGGTTCTGCTTCTTGGTGTTCCCCCTGTTCTGTTGTAGCTCAACACCTAATGTGTTAATGCAGAGACAGATTTTCTTTGGTTCTGCTCTTCCTGTGTGTCTCAGCAGTACGATGAGGAACTCTTGGTTTCACACTTTTAGATATTCAGTAGTTTGCTTGATTAGCTCTTTGATTTTTTTCCCCTTATTCTGTCTGTGCTGCATATTTCTGTACCGTTCTTTTAATTTGTCACCTTTTTTAATGAGTCTTGTCTGCTTCGTCAGTTTCATGACAGATGTTTCATCCTGTCCATTGCCTCCTCCTCCTCCTCCTCCTCCCTCGACACCCTCCACCTGTCTCTCATCTGTTCTGTGTGGCTGCATGCTCTGGTGTTTGCACGATGTATGTAGCTCTGGCCGACATTGGGAAGATTTAATATCACTCTTCTCTTCTCTCCCCTCCCTTTGTTGTGTTTATTCTTCTCTTTGTCTCCTCTGTGCAGGGGAGGTGCTCTTTCAGATGGCTGAAGTGCACAGACAGATCCAGATCCAGCTTGAAGAGATGGTGAGCATGTGGTGACGGTGGTGTTGCTAAAATCAGCACTTCTAAAGCCACCAGTCTGGAGCCAAACAGATTGTGGGCCTTTTGCTTTGTAATCTCCACACAGCACGATAGATTTTAATATTTAATACTCATAAAGACACACTCTCACACACTCACACACTCCCACACACTTGTACACACTCTTACTGTGCAGGAGTCGTTTTATACCTCCACACCGACATTTAGTTTTCAGGGTGTCCATCTTTCCCAGTCTCATGAACGTGATATCTCAAGATCGCCTCAAGGGAATTTTCTAAGATTTGGCACAAACGTCCACTTGGACTCTAAAAATGAAATGATTAGAATTTGGTGGTCGAAGGTCAAAGGTCACTGTGACCTCACAAAACATGTTTTTGGCCATAACTTCAATGGAATTCATTCACTAATTATGACAAAACGTCACACAAATGTCGACCAGGATAAAATGCTGAAACGAAAAAGTCAAAGGTCAGCTTGACTGTGACATCATCATGTTTTACCGTCATATCTCAGGAACAGAAGGGGAGACATTTGGTCAGATACTGAATTGGCGAACGTGTCGAGTTTGTAACAAACACACTTTATTTTGAAGTGAAGTGAACATGCAGCACAGAGCTTGTGTTTTGAAGTGCTGTTTCCTGCTGTAGAGTGAGTGAATTACAGACAGCTACTTGACAGAGGCAGCAAACTTCCTCGATGAAGTATGACGCTGAATATATTACTGTTTGGACCTTGAACGAATGACTGAGGAGGAATCTCGAGGCTGTGGCTGCACCAGTTGGAAACCACAGGTATTGATCTTTTCACAGACATGGATGGAAACTGTAACGTGAGGTGGTGATTCTAGTTTTCCGCAGGCAGCAGCTTCACGTAACGACGGTTCGTTCACTGATCTGATGTGTAAATTGCAGCCATCACAGACTGAGAATAGTTTTCAGGTCACTTCCCCTTGAGATCTTTCTGGATTCTTCCTCAGAGGAAATTGGCCAATTGTGGCGACATTAGCAGAAACATTTAGTCAGCCCAGAGAAGAAGTGAGGAGCTTTAATCTTAGTCCTGTAATGGATGTCAGTGATCCAAAGCAGTGTCATTTACAAATTATCTCTTATCCAGAGAGAAAAGTGACGTTAAGCAAAATATTCTCCCAGACTCATAAACTGGTGTGTCCTCTCCAGGCGGTGAACTCAGAGCTCCTCACAGTCTGTGCTCACTTCCTGCTTTGTCAGCCAGCGTCTCCTGCTGATAGTAGTTTGATGAAATATGAATTATAAGAGACAACAGCCTTGTTTACACAGAGGTGGCGCTGTAGAGCCTCTACAAAGTCCCTCTGCTCAGAGGGTAAGGAGCTCCTGGACCTCATTGTTCACTATGTGTGGACATTTTCTGTTCTTCTTCTTCGAGTTAGCCGCTAACTGCTAGCAGCTGCTTTTTAAATCTCCTGCAGTTGGTCGCATGTATAACACATCATCAAAACATCACGCCCGTCCCACCCATGGTTAGAATTCCTTCAGTTTTCATTGTTCAGGACCTGAATTATCCATAGAGGTCTCTTCCTCTCAGAAACAAACTCAGCAGCTGATTTACACCAGGAAGAACTCTGAAGAAAGACATCTCACGTTAAAAAGTCAGTCCCGTTGTGGAGGTGCTGCTGCAGTGGCAAAGATGAAAACACGAATGTCTCCATCTGTTCTGCGCTACAGTAGAAACATGGCGGTGCAACATGGTGATCTCTGTAAAAGAGGACCTGCTCCCTGTGTAGATATAAACGTCGCATTCTGAGGAAATGAAAACACATACGATTTTTACTCTCAGCTGATTATACACTAAAGAAAACAGACTGATTATATTGGATTTAAATCCTCCACAGTGGAGCTTTAAATAACATTTTCAATGCAGAACTTTTGTATCAGGGTATTTTGACACTGTGGTGTTGGTATTTTTATACCTCTGTAAAGGATCTGAATATTTCCTCCATCACTGCAAGTGAAGTATTAAATATAGAATATTAAATAGTTAATTATGATTTGTAGTTTCCTTGGTAATATTTCAGCACTGGCTCCACCTGCACACAGAGAGGCACACACACACTAAACATGCAGAGAGACAGCAAGTTGACTTTGGCGTGCTTTTACATACCAGACATCCTCCCATAATCCGTTGGGTGTGACATTTCCGACAGCAAAACAAATCCGTCCCTTGGAGTCATTATCGCACCACAACACTGCAGCGTCACATTCCTCTGTGAGAAGAGTCCTCTGTGGTCGTCCGCAGAGCCGCAGGACGTTCATTCAGTGTGTTTCTGTGTCTTACAGCTCAAGTCCTTCCACAACGAGCTGCTCACGGAGCTGGAGAAGAAGGTCGAGTTGGACGCACGCTACCTGAACGTGAGATTCACTCTTTGATGTTCTGTAGAAACAGAAAGTCCCTAACCATAACGCTCATATCTGTTCCACCATTCAACACCTTTCAGCCTCTTTTAGTTTACTGTTTTGGTTTTACAGCACATGAGCTGTTTGCGTCAGTCTCATCAACCTCATTTCCAGCAGCAGTAGGCGGCCATTTTAAACCCACGATACACGACCTGCTGAGCACCACACAAGCAGAGTCAAGAGAAATAAAGTGAAATATCTGGCTGATAAGACCCAGATAAAGTCTGAGCACTTTGTGGAGAGCTAAGGGACTGTTCTTTATTCATCAGAGGAGGGGGTGGCTGCGGTGTGACCCTCCCCTGAAGCTCCAAATATTTTTCCTTGACTCTCGCTGAGTGACTGGGGAAAATCCATGATCCCTCCACCATGAATTAGTGATTATATTTTTATATGATTTTTGGAAGTTAACGAAGCCGGTGATCTCAGCAGAGTCATCGACCCCCGCTTCAAATACTAGATTGGCTCTCTGATGAGGAAAAGGAAAAGGTGAGACGAATTGTAGATGAGGTCTCGTGATGAGGCCCGACCTGCGGCATTCCAAGTTATTAATAACATACAGACACGTCCCGTACAATAGTCCACCTTCCACCTTCTCTTCCCTCTTTCTATCACTCTCTCTGTCACACACACAAACACAGCAGCGCTGCTCCCGTTGAAGCTTCAGATATTCGCAGGTAAATACCACTGATGCTTCAAAGGCCTTAAAATGGTATTTGTGACAGCCCTCGAAATATCAGACTATAGAACACTGACCAATCATAATCGAGTATTCAGCAAAGCTAGCAGTGTGTCTCACACTGCACACTCCTGTTCTAAACACTTAATATTTTGAGTGCGCTAAGTGCGTTCATGCTGCATGGTACGGGAAAATGCAGTGTATGGTCCAAAGTTGCACTAAGTACAAAAACTGTTGTTGAATAGAAGCCATCAGTAATTTTTGTTGGGTCTGTAATGATTTGGTACCACCAACAAAAATGTGAGCGCTAACGTTAGCTTGCTAGGTAACAGCGGTACATTTTAATCAGTACTGATGATAATGCTCCACCGTCCGTTTGCAATTTGCTGTCTAAAAAGAAGACAAAGAAGAAGAAGAAGAAGAAGAAGAAGAAGAAGAGGCAGTTAAAAAAAAGCCTTTGTCACTTCCAGTGAAAAACAGCAGTGTGTGATTTGAGACAACACTACCCTGTTGATATTAGTGCACCACACAGGAAGTACACAGTGCACTACACTGAAGTGCACTAACAGAAGGATGTGATTTGAGACAATCTGGGTAATAATATGTTGAATAACTCTCTTATTGTTGCCTTGATTCCACCTTAAATAATTAATTGAACAGCCTGTATTTAAAACATCAATCATAATCATAAGTACATTATGTAACAACGCGCCTGACCCGCCGTGTGCTTGAATGCAACACCACTTTTAACTGTGCTCGGCGTCAGTCAGGTCTCTCCAGGGAGTGGAGTTATGGGGGATACAGTATGAACCATGTTCTCATAAAATCATCGGCCACGCTCTCTCCTTCATTTCCCACCGGCTCTCATCCAAACCACTGCAGCAAGTTACATAAATTACTTCCCACTCTGCCCTGTGAATCATGACTCATTCTGTGGAAATAAGGACTTCTGCAAAAAAAAATAAACAGACAAATTCATTTATGGTGATCAGTGGTTTGGAGTCAGTCCCAGAATCATTTCACCGTTAGAGACGGGGGATGTACCGGCGTGTTTGGAAACCTCCACGATGAAGGTCAGCCAGTCAAAAATTCAGATGCATTCAAATGCAAATCAGCTGTAGAGCTGCTCGATGAGCTCATCCTCTACTCTGTACAGTACCAACATGTTCTCATCCCAAATACCGCCACTTTGTCAGTGGACCTGCATGACAAAATATGAAGCACGAGGTTCCTTCCTGCGACGTTTACAGAGGGCGTGTCGTATCATGTGCTTTACATGTATTGTCAGTTTTTTCAAAATAAACTGATATTTCCCTAAGTTTAGAAACAAGACTCTGTGGTTGGGTTTAGAAAAAAACATCATTGTTTGACCTAAAATTCACACGTGAAACAAACAGTGGGTGAAAGTCCAGAGTTTGTTTGACCCGTCCATCTCTGCTCCTGTCCGCCCTGTTTGGACTTTCTCACTCTTTATATTACGGTAGTTGCTTGTGGCATCGTGAACTGCTGGCAACCGGTGAGTATCGTAACGTCTATGACGACGTCCACTGACAAAGCGGCAGTATTTGTCAAGATGGGGGTGAGAGCAGGCTGATACACATCCACACACGCAACACATCCTAGTGTGTCTTACCTCTCACCCAGTGCATGCTGGGATATGCTGTAGCTGCTATGACCAGGCACAGAAAAAGAGAGAATGCATCAATTCAAACCTGCAGATTAATTTAGGTTTGGGGAGAAACAGAAACAAGTTCTGAACTCTAAAATCAGCTCGAACATAATATGACAAATAACCAGATCCTCCGTCAGCTCTGCGGTCCGTCCAGTGAACCAGCAGCGACTCGTCAGTGAATGTTTGCCGGTGTAAAATATTGTGTGTGGATGCTGCAGACACATGCGAGCTCTGCCCTGCTGACTTTGTGCTGCCCTCCTCAGGCTGCGCTGAAGAAGTACCAGATGGAGCACAAGAGCAAAGGGGAGAGTTTGGAGAAGTGCCAGGCAGAGCTGAAAAAACTGCGCCGAAAGAGCCAGGGCAGCAAGCACCCGTCCAAGTATGGAGACAAGGAGATGCAGGTCAGTCTCTGTATGTGTGTGTGTGTGTGTGTGTGTGTGTGTGAAACTCAGAGTGCGTAGGAGGCTGAGGTGTATTGAGTGGTGCAGACTGTAGTTCCTGGTGTTTCTGTGGCTCAGAGAGCTTCCTCATGGTCAAATGCATGACAACATGACTTCAGACAATACGATCCCTCTGGCCTCAGCCCGGTGTGTGGTGCAGACAACCTGCAGGCCTCTGGGGAAAAAAACATTCATCATTCACTTCATCTTTATTTCAGCAGAGTCAGAGTCAGACCGTTAGTGAACTCACGCTGACTCGTCGGCAGAGCGCAGACTCTGCTCCTCAGATGCTGTTTCCCTCCTCCTCATGGGATTTGAGCTTCAGTGCGCCTGGTAATCTGTGACAGCGCTGATGGGATAGGACGTGCTGAGCTGAATAGGATGGGACCCCCGACTGGGCGCACGCAGTTTGGGTGCCAGTCTGCGAGGGCCTTCACTGTGAGAAGAATGGAGATAGAGAAGGTTACGATTTAAACTCACTGCGGGCTGAACAGCAAAACAATCCCAGAGATCTCAGCTGTGATCGGTACCGTAGGTTTGGAGGTTTAGAATATAACAAAAAGGAAAAGCTGACGTTTTTCAGACTGTGGCCTTCGTCAAGGTCAACACCTGCAGAATGCATTTAAATGATATCATTATCAAAAAAAAACCACAACAACTGATCACATTAAAGACGACCAGAGATGATTGGATGTGGACCAGCGTGCAGTCTGTCATGTCTGTCGGCCAAGTCAAGATTTTATGACTCCACCATCACTTGATCTGATATAGTGACATTGTGGATGGACAAAAATGTTGTGTAGTCTGAACCTGGCGTTAGAAGGAACCGAGAAAGTCGGGGAAAGTTTTTAAGTTTCATCAGGCTACAACATGTTCACCAACCAAAGGAAGAAAAGAACACAAGCATTTATTATAATCACAGTGTTTAATTCGAGCTTCTCTACATTCACTTTGTGACTCTGCCACAGTCCTTCCACAACGCTCCCCGTCCACATCGTCTCATGATGGCCGCTCTCTCTGCGTCTTACATAATATTTGTTTATGAGATGTAGGACAGGTGAACGGGTTGAGTGAGCCATATTTCTCTCATGTTCAGGTAACTGTTGGAGCGGAGGCGTGAGAGACGCTGCGAGTCTCTCTGTGTGCCCCCGCCTGTAGGCGTTCTGGTGACACATGGTGGGCGTGCCCTCTTACACAACCTGCACAGGAGACACTGCTGTCTGTCCAATCAGATGCTCCTCCTCAGCACGATGAGAGGCTGAGAGAGAGCTGAGGGAGGACAGAGTGATGAGGAGCTGCAGGACTGTGTAAAGTAACGAGCTTTAATCGGGACAGAAGTGACCAAAACTAAACGTTCAGATTTTGAAGCTCGCAGCTGAGCTGTGGGTCGGCTCAGATGTCACACACACTTCGGCGAGTTTCTGTGTGAAGCGACACTGACAGGACAAAGGCCGCAGCTCTCCAGCTCAGTCTGCGGCTGAGGGACTTCTGTTGTTATATTTCTGCCTCGTCAGCATTTAAAGTGTCAAATAATTAAACTCACAGTGGAACAGTGGATATGAAGCTTCATCCACCGACAGCCTGTCGAGCGATGTCGTACGCAGCAAAAACTAATCACCTGCAGCCCCACTGTGGCGTCTCCGCAGACGTCATGTGGGAATGTACAGTATTTTATTCTGTTGACAGACATTTTAATCCAGAGGTAACCTGCAGATAGTTTCTTTGTCACAGAGGCTGCTGTTGGTTAAAGGAGTAACACAAGTCAAGAAAACTATTGATACTGTGTCAGTGGACAAACCTGGATTCATGTTGTTCAGATTACCGACACATTTAAGGTATTTTTGGCGGTTACATGCTGTCGATCTCGCTCTGCTTGGCCATCAGGAAGCCCAGCTTTTGAAGAGTGTTGTGATAACCTAGTGTTCGAGACAAGAATTAGCTGCTAGCCACCCCATGCTCCCTCCGCCTCCCTGCTGCTGTGGAGTGATTCCCTGGGAGGAGAGCGAGCAGTGTGTAACAGCAGCAACAGAAAGTTTGCTGATCCGGCGGTTAGTCAGGGGCTGGGGAGCTGGGGTTTGATCTGGCTGGATTCATGTTGCTGCTGCCGCTAACTGAGGGCTCAGTCTCCAGAGCTGCTGCCTGGTCTCCTACTGGCAAGATGGTCAGTGGTGGCGGGGAGTGAGGCGGAGGATGCACTGTGATTCGAGGCTCTAGCTAACACAGAAGGCTAAACTATTAGCATCATTGTCTCTCCATCTCTGGAACGCTGAAACTGACTTGTGTTTTTTTTAGTTTACTCTCTGTATGATCAGTCCGTCTTCCTGTTTTGGATTCTTCTTCACTGAGTTAGACTTTCCAACATGTTCTCATCCCAACTCATTAAATACCGCAGCTTTATCAGTCAACCTACAAGTCAAAATATGATGCTCTGGGTACCCTTCTGTGTCAGTTTTGGACATTCAGGGACGGCGCATCAATCTACACTTGTCACATGCATTGTGTTTTTTAAATACAGTTCAGCAGACAGGCTTTTTAGAAATACACACTGGACACAAACAGCAGGCTCCTGGGTAAAAGTCCAGAGCTTGTTGGACACATCCAGCTCCTCTCCAGCCAGCGGTGTTACAAAAAGTCGCCGCCCGGTGTGTATCTTACTGCTGAGGAGGGTGCCTCTGTGCAGTGGTGTCTGATGCTGACGTCCACTGACAAAGCCTCTGTATTTGACCAGTTGGGGGGAGAATGGGCGGGGCTTTCACCACCTGAAGGGACGTGCACGCGAATCTGCATTTGTAGAACAGCCAATAGGAACGCACTCTCTCTGAAATGACCTGTGATTGGACAAAGTGTCCTGAAAACAAGAGGAGGAGCAGACGTCTAGTTTTCTCTCAGACCACTTGATGTACAATATGCTCAAAGGTTATTGTGGGATTTTGTTCAATTTTGACAAAATAAGATTAAGAAATCAGAACAACCTGACAGAACAGAGTCAAAATCTGAATCCGGATCATTTAAATGACCGTCAGTCAGGTGATCAACAAGCCAAAAAACAACAGCTAACATGCATTATTTAACACTGTAGTAAAAACCTCTCCACACAGTAGGAGCATGTGTGGCTTCAGCTCATCATGGCCGCACACAGAGAACATGATGTCAGAGGTTAAGGGTTAATTGTGCAGCACTTTCAGAGTCTGAGGCCGTCGCCCCACACGGCTCCACAGGAGCAGCAGGGGATGTAATTATTGTGTAACTGTTAGTGTTGCTCCGATGGATGGCTGGTGGAGCGTGAAAGAGGCGGCCGGGCCGGTCGTTACAAAAATCGATACACTGAGCTTTATATGAGGAACAACAGCACAGGAACGTTCAGTCTCAGTTCCTCTTATCGGCCGTGACAGACACAGGATCAGCTCAGATACAGACCTGTTGTTTCATCTGCTGACGGGGACAGAACGTCCACAACTGGACAGATTCACTGTTTTTTTTTGTTTTATTTCAGAGTGTGTGCGTCTACACATGTATGTGTGTGTTCGTCGTCTCCAGCGAGATGGTTATTTTTCCTTCCTGTTTGCACATATCTCAGTCTTGTTCACACATTTCAGTGAAATCTTGCAGGAGATCAGCCGTGGGTCGCGGAACAAGGGATCATGTTTGGTGCAGAATGAAAGATATGTGAAATATTCAGTGTTTCCATGCAGACCTCCATTTTGCTCCGGAGTTGCGAACAAACCTTTAACAATCAGACTCATGTTTTATAATGTGGAGGATTCTGCAGCGTTAGGTACTGTCCGGTTTTTGCTCGTGTGTGCTGCGTTCCTCCTGAGCATCATGTGTGTGTTCTGAGGGCGCCAGATTCTCACTGTGCGTCATATTGACCCTCATGGGGACCAGGTCTTGGCAGGAACAGGAGACACCAGCGACCTGCACCCTGACACTCAAAGATGAACAGAACAGGACACATTTGCCTTATTGAACATACAGTATTGAGTATATATATGTTCGTCTGGGTGTTTGTGACAGGCAGATAATATGTGTGTGTGAAGCCTGAAAGCTTCTCTGTGTGGATGTGTGTTGGCTCACTTGCTTCTACCTTTAGTTAAAGGGATAGTTTTGAGGTGGGGTTGTGTGAGGTACTCATCTATAGTCAGTGTGTCACCTTCAGTGGACGGCAGTCGTCTGAATCTGAATCTGAATCTTAAGACACGAAAAAAGATTTTAAAATCCATGACGTCACCACAACATAAGGTCTGTGAGCCAAGATTGAACTTGTGGGCGACAACATTGCCACAAAAACCTCTATCTCTACCCTGCTGTATCAGTTTCTTCCTCTGACCTGTGATAGACAAAGAACTGAAGCCATTAACAGTTTCCCCGTCACAACAGGCTCTCTGACAGGAAGTATAGTCTACATTTAAACAGATATTGATTTAACAGCATTTTCTAAAATCCTTTTTGTAGCTGCCCCGTCCACAGCAGGTCATTACTGAGCTTCTGTGTCCGTACTACTTCCTGTTTCTCCAAACTGAGGGCCGACTGACATGTTCGTACCACGCTGACTGTGGATCAGCACCTCCAACAACCCACCTCACAAGATCCATCTGTCCCTGTTAGTGATGCTCGCTGGAGCCTTTCTAGAACAGCGGGAAAAAAACCTCCCACCTCAGAGTGAAGTCGCGGCCCTTCTCTCCTCCTGCTCATGATTGATGTTGATATTAAAAGTGGAGGCGATGGGAAGTCACCCGTTTACAGCGGTGTCCCTCAGGGGCCATAAAGCAGCTCGCTGCTGCCTGAACACAGTCCGATAAATCAGCTGCTACATCTGTGACTGAGGCATGATGGGAGGAAAAACACTCACTTTGTGACTTTTGATGAAGCTAATGTAAAAGAAATGACTCATCCTCCCTCCCACGTCCCCCCGCATCATGTCCCTTTGTTTCTCTGTTATTGCAAAGAAGACATTAGACATC